ATAACCGCCAGCAGCGCGGGCGCGATTGCAAGCGTTTTATTGTTGGGCAGCAGAGGCCATATAGGCAACACATCGCCCATTTCATGCAGCAAAGAATATTTGTTATTATTACTTTTTTATGATTTTGTACTTTTTTGTTATTTGAAAATTTTTGGTGCATTTACATTTTTTTTTTAAATTTTTGTTGTCCTGTTTTTAACCTATTTGTGGATTCACAGAAAAATTTGGTACATGTTATTTACTGATTGATTTACATGTATTTCATTTAATGAGATACTTGTTGTATGTTTTGTTGTTGTTGTTAGTTACACGTTTTTGTTGCTTTTTCCATTGATCTTTTTACAAAGTACTTATCAATCGAAATGGTTGGTACATTTATTTTATTTTGTTAAATTGATCGACTTAATTTATTGAAATCCTTGCATCTTTTTGCTGTGATACTTTATTTGAATGTTATTTATTAAAATGTTAGTTTATTTCTTTTTGTTGGTGTTTTTGTCTATTTTTTAGGTCACCTGAGTCACCGCTATCTGTTTTAGTCCGTCGTCGTGCGTCGTCCAACGGTCGTAAACTTTTGAGCATTTTTAGCTTCTTCTATGGAACCACTGAACCAATTTCAACCAATTTTGGCATATAGCATCTATGGGTGAAGGGGAGTAAAAATTGTGAAAATCACGGCCCCTGCCCCTCTGGGGCCTGAGGGTTGGGGCTAAAACCATCAAAATTAATGCAATCCTTAAAAATCTTTTTCTTTACTCCTAGACATCAAGCGAACTGTTGACATGATTGTAATAAGCATAGAGCCTTCTATCGAAATTGTGAAATTCATGGCCCCAGGGTCAGGGGTGGGGCTCTAATGATTATATAGTGAAAATGCATTAATTCCTTAAAAATCTACTCTTCTGCTCTTGGGTATTTAGCCAATGAACAAAGTACATAGTTATGATGAGGAAGAGTGCCTCTTCCAAAATTGTGATTTTTATGGCCCTAGGCCTGGGTCTGGGGTTCTTGTGTTTGGGCAGGGCTCTAATGATTATATGAAGAAAATACATTAATTCTTTAAAAATCATCTCCTCTGCTCCTGGGTATTAAACCGATGAACTATGTACACAGTTATGATGAAGAAGAGTGCCTCTTCTAAAAAAAAATGAATTTCATGGCACCTGGGTCAGGGGTCCTGGTGTTAGGGCAGGGTTCTATTGATTATATAGTGAAAATGCATTAATTCTTTGAAAATCTTTTTCTCTGCTCCTTGGTATTAAGCCGATGAACTAAGTACATAGTTATGATGAGGAAGAGTGCCTCTTCCAAATTTATGAATTTCATTGCCCCTGGGTCAGGGGTTCTAGTAATAATGCGGGGCTCTGGTGATTATATAGTGAAAATGCATTAATTCTTTGAAAATCTTTTCCTCTGCTCCTTAGTATTAAGCCGATAAACTAAATACATAGTTATGATAAGGAAGAGTGCCTCTTCCAAAATTTTGAATTTCATGACCCCTGGGTCAGGGGTTCCGTGGGGGTTGCTCTAATGATTATATAATAAAAATGCATTGATTTTTTGAAAATCTTCTCCTCTGTCCATTGATATTAAGCAGACAAACTAAACACATAATTATGATGAGAAAGGGTGCCTCTTCCAAAATTGTGAATTTCATGGCCCCTTGGGTTAGGGGTTCTTGTGCTTGGGATGGGCTCTATTAATTTATTAGCAAAAATGCATTTAATGCCTTGAAAATCTTCTCTGCCCCTGATTACCAAGCAAACAAACTAAATGCAATAATATCAATGTAAATGTATTAAATATAATTATAAGTAAATGTGACTTCTCTTTGCTCCTGGGTATCTAGGAGGCAAACAGAGCACACAAGTGAGAGTTACTTCCCTTTGCTAGATGTTGTTAATCAAAAAATCCTTGTATATATTCTAATTGATAGATTATTTGATTGAATGAGTATACAAGAAAGAATGTTATGTATATAGAAACAAAATAATGAGGAATGTTTAATTTAAATGAGCAAAGCATGCTCAAAGTCAGAATCTTGCCTGGAAAGCAACATAAAAGATTGGCATAAAGATCATTTATGTATTTAGCAAAAGTTGTTATCGTGCACGGTATGATTATACTGTGGTGATCTGTTTGACATTAGGTGAGTTATTGTCACTGAGAGAGTCATGGTTGACAGAAGACAGTCAGGATAAAGTTATTTTACACTTTATCAAAGTGAACAAAGAATCACAGAGAGCCAGTGTGACTTGTTGTAATTAGTGGCAAATAGCAACGTTATATAGCCAAGTCTCTGTGTACTGAATTGTAGCACTAGGCATGTGACATAAATTGAATACCTTACACAATAGGCAAGTGTCCATTTTATTACATTTTCAACAGTGAAATACTGTGATTTATTCATTGAATAAAAGTGATATTCTCTCACAGCGTGAAAGGATACATAAGTGGTATTCTCTCACAGTATGAAAGGATATCAAAGTAAGTAAAATATAATTTCTGGTATGTAATAAGATTGAAATAGTGACTAAACCATCTTGACAGAGACTAAAACTGCCAATTTCTTCCCAAATATGTTGCTAAAATCCATGTTACAATGTCTTGTCATCTTACAACTGCTAAGCCATGACGTCTCAACTGCTCAACTATGACGTCACACAATTACATGGTGTTAAGAAAAGACAGAGGCAAAGGGAAAATCAAACAAAATGTAATAAATAGAAAATTCAATGTTTTGTAGTTGGATATGGAATTTATTTCACTCGTGAGACAGGATTTTTTGATATTTTCACTCGTGCTTCGCACTCGTGAAAATATCAAAAAATCCTGTCCCACTCGTGAAATAAATTCCATATCCAACTACAAAACATTGAATATTCTCTATGTATTTGTATACTTTGCTTTCATTATTATCCCTATAAGACTTGGGAAAACCAAGTATGATCCCAAGGATCACTCGGTTCTAGCACGTTACAATAATAAGCAAGGGTAGTTTTACCAGATTTATGAAATTCATGGGCAACATTGCTTTGTGAAATTGTCTATCAGTTAATCTTGTTTTATACTTCTATGGATCCTTTACAGTGTTGTATTATACTCAGGTGACCATTAAGGCCCTTGGGCCTCTTGTATGTACTTGTATATGCTAGTGCATGTGATGTTTTTTTTTTTCCGAGGTGATACATGTAGTGCATTTATTTTATTTTATCCAAAGGTATTTTTTTTAAATCCCTTAAATTTTCAGAATTAACTATTCTCTCATTTAAAAATGCTTATACTTAGTCTAGTATTTTGGTATATAATATTTTTTTGTTTAGTTATTTTTGACTCTCAGGTTAAATTGATTATTTTCGTCATTACTTTTAATCATGATTGATTTTCCCTGGTTAGAATCTTTTTTTCAGGGAATATTTTTACCTCTCAACGATAACAACGAATAATTTGATGGGCAAGTATATTTGAAGATGAGTTATACATGTAAGTAGAATTTATTTTTCAATAAAGTGCTTGAAAAATGTTTAGTTTGTGTGTTGTTGTTTGTTATATTTTTATTATCAATATATTGTACACTTTACACAGTATAGATAAATTTTAGAAAGAAAGCAGAGCAAGAAGGTTGTGCCTCTCATATCTGTAAAGTGTTACCCCCCTCCCCCGAAATAGCTTCGTTTGCGTCTGTGCTATTATTCTTTATACCAAATATAGAACAGAAAATGTGTTTAAATTAACGTAGAGATGTGGGACAACTTTTTAAACTTCTTCTGAAGCAAAGGAATATTATAAATGTGAAGAACTGCGAAAGATAGTATTGTTCTGCCGCCTATCTCCAAGTCGATTTTATAACACAATTTTTATCAAACAATCAAATTAAATCAAAAATCATGAAAACTTTACCCAAGAAGTTTTTTTTTTTTTTTTTTTTTTTTTTTTTTTTTTTTTTTTTTTACATGTAAATTAGATCTTGACTTAAGGTCAACTTTCGTAAAGCTACTTTTGAGATAAACACAATAGGTATATACTTCATAACTAGAAAAGTTACTGAAATTTACACAATTCAAAACTAGAGGTTCACGGAATTCAATACCGACGAGTGTTTCACAGTACTAGGACATTTATCCATGACAACCATTAATTTTTCTATTATTTATAGCCAGAAAGCTTACCCACCAACTTCCTAATTTGAAAAAGATCTGATAAAAAATCAAATACGTGTGAATTTATTAAAAAAAATATGCTCACATGTTCCTAATAAATTTAAATAAAAACAATCTATTTAGAGGAGAGAGACGAAATTCCTCCCATTTTGCCAGAATTGGAAGAAAGGGTATGATCGTCAAAGATAATGGCAAAAAATGGTGTTTTCTGCCTGCTTTTAGTGGTCTATATATATTATTAACTTGCGAGGAATCATCTACATGTAGCATGTACTCGTACTTTACCGGAATGGATCGTTTACGGTTTGTCTTTCAATTTCCCTATGTAAACATCCTACTAGCGACAGTCCAGCTATACAGTATTGAGTAAATACATCAAACTGTGTAAGTACATATGTGCGTTAGCTAGCAACATACACTTACTGCTTTAAGTAAAGTTCTTACGACTTGGAAAAACAGTCCAGTAGGTGTGTTGCTTGAAAGCTCACTGTGGTAGTGGCGTTCACGCAACATTAACTTTCTACAGCTGTTCAAGGACCTTGAGGAAGCAAGCTATATTTAACTGAAAGTTTTCTGTACACGCTGTCGAAGGCACAGATAATTACTGTTATTAAGCTGAATAGACTGAAATAAGTCACATCCTTCAAGTAATGGTTAATTCATATTAAGACTTTTAAGTTCAATTTCTGCTTTCGTCTGAATACATCCTCTACATTGAATACATTGTTTCTAATTTGAACTACCAAGTAAGATACCAGATGTGATTTACAATGCAGTGACATACATTTCGTGGGACTTGTAAGCATAGTGTCACCTATTTTGTAGATTACACAATGTACATGTAGGTGACATACTTCCGCTATCTAGCAGGGGTGATGGTGACCTAGAATGCCATCAAATGTTTTGCTGTTGTCGCCACTTCGAAAACCTAGTGGAAACCACTCAACAGTACAAAGAATCAGGTAACGAGAAAAGTCGACGTAAATCATAAAAGACACGCCCACTGATCAATATAGGTACATCCCTTTGCTCATTTTGCGTATGAAAATATCATGCTATCAAAGAAAAGTCAATTACATTGTAATTAAGCTCTATGTTGGTCCTGCACTGTCATAATTTAAGTTAGAATGCTTACAAAATAGAAACAGACCAAAGGCTCCCTCATTAATGATTTAATCATTGGTTCCTGAATTTAATTTATCAAATCGTCATTGTATAAAGCGGGTTTTAACCCCCCACCCCACCCCATGCACTGTGTACGTATACATATTAGTTGGGAAATGGGTCTGGGTAAAATTATGGAAGACAAGGGGGTAGGACGGGAGAGAGACAGTAAGATGGGAGAGGAGAAGGACAGACAATAGAATAAAAGAATTTGTAGAAAAGGTTTTGGTATAGAAAGAGACGGGAGAGAAAGAAATTTACATGTATTTTGTTGTACACCTCATGCACATGGCTTGCGAAATTTCAAAATATATTTTAAGCCGCTTACTTTAAATTCAATTCTGATTTCACACATACATGTATAATGTATTTGCTAAAGTTGGCTTTACTTAAGCTTTGAAAGTAAATGCTAGTATTACGTTTATTATTTTTTTTCACTTGGTGTAATAAATGGTTCCCAAGATATACAATTATATATTAACACACATCTTTTTAAACTAATCAAAATCAGATATTATGCCAACTACATGTACTTGAATTATACGTAACTGGTCAATTGATCAAGTTTAAAACCACGAAATTTCAGGTCACATTTAGAGTCCGGAAATTTGGTTTGTAAAGAATGGGACCCGGCAGATTTTGATAATGAAGAGGAATTTCTTAAAAAGTTGACGGATAACGAAGTGGATTTCATCATCGCATTACATGCATACAAAGCTGGGAAGTTTCTGTCGGATAAAGGTATAAATCAATGCCTGTATCTCATGCCGGAAAAAAAGGATTAATTATAAGTTTTACTCCGTGTATAACGATTTTGTGCCACACTAAACATGCGGCATCATGATATTAAAGTGCATAGTTTACGCAAGCACTTCATTTTTTTTAACAGAAGTCTGAAAAGTTAAGTACTTGTAGCGTACAAGCGTTTGTATTGCTGCTGTCTCTTTTGCCTAACTTTTCAATCTGCTATTGAACAAAGTTTCAGTAAGGACCAAATGTGTTTTTTCCCTGTATAATTACCTTTAAACAGTTTGGATTCATACAAACCTGACTGCATGGTTGCGAAAACTCTTTATGCAAAAATAAAATTCTTTCTACCTACACCAGTATAATATGCTGTCATTTTGTTTTCGTCATTTTGTTATTTTTTTTCTTGTTAAGCAGAATTTGTAACAAGAAAACATGAAGACTTTATAGCTCATTTCGTATTTATTCAAACCGTATGATTTAACTACTCTTGGGATTTTGTTGCTGTTCTCAAATTATTTTAAATAAAGTTATTTAACGTGCCTATAAATAATATACAGTATTTATCTATTTACAGTGCCCATTCCTTACATCGTAATATTTGGTGGTACAGACATTAACCAGTTTTACACAGATGACGACAAACTACTCAAAATGTCGCGAGCTGTGGGGGCGGCTAGGTTAGCATTGACTCACTTTTTCAGTTTTGATTTATGGATAACTTATTTTTTTATTATTAGTTTGGAATCCTTGTCTTGACAACTCAGTGTCGGATTTAAGGGGGGGGGGGGGGGCGCACCCCCCCCCCTAAATTGTCAAAGTTAGCGTAAATCATAGTTTCGTTGAGACAAAGTTAAAATATCTACTCAGTAGACCTCATTTCTACCTTACAAAATCTCTAGAATCCAGAAGCTTCTGGGGGATTCGCCTCCTGGGTCCCCACCAGGGCTTCGTCCTGAACCGACTGGGGGGCTTCAAGGCGGCTCCCAGACCCTCTGCCTAATTTTTGCGCCCCCGAACTTCAATTCCTGGGGATCCGCGCCTGCAACCGTCTTTCCAAAATATTGATCATTATGAATCATATCCATAAATAGTTAATAATCAGAGCTTCATTTACGATATTATTCAGTATTACTGTGTATTAAAACAGACATATATGCCTGTAAACAAGCTGTATTTCCTATATGTAAGTATTATCTTTCTTCTCCTTATTATATTGATTTTAATTTATCATTTTATTTTTTTTTTTAGACATATCGTAGCTTTTAGCCAAGAAATGATGGATAAGGCTCTCAGAATCTGGGTAAAAATTTGTGACATACAGGAAATTGTTAATGCAGTGCATCTGGCTATTGAATATTTTATATCAGAAACTCACTGTGTTTTTCAGCCTCATCTAGACAAGTCAAGGACGGCCATTATAAAGCAAGGTAATTTGATGTTCCTAGAAATTAACGTCGTGAATTTCGAAATTGAATTAATTCTCAATAAGTATGGAACTTCTGCACATAAGCCATGGTAATCTACACAACTATTAGGGAAATGCGTGTCTCGTTTTAAAGATGAAGAATACAGCACTTAAAACAGGCTTTATTACGTTGTGCAGTTCATATCCTCCTTAAAAAATAAGTGTTTTTAAAGTACAAAAAATGTGTAGGTTAATTAATTTTCTGGCATCTAAAAGCAAGCATGACGCAAAAATTCGAATCTGTTTTAATCTGCAGTTTGATAATATAAACTGAACATCCATCTTGATGTAATACACATTGGGTTGATCAGTATGTAATATCGATTGTTGATTAATGGCTGCCTCTCTAGGTATACAAACAAGAGCGTCGTCTTTGAGGCTGAGGGACTATTTAGTGAACCAAGGTCACGTGTCCTCATCTTTGGTGGCGGAGGCATACATTTTTCTCTTCGTTGGAAGCATCCGACCCGTCAAAGACCCGCTGTATCTCGTCAATACAATGGCAGGTACATGTATACCTTCTGCTGTTAATTGGAAAAAAGTACTCTAATAAATCTGTGTTTATAGAGTAAAATACAGTCAAGCCAGTATTATGCGACCACGTTTATAACAGGAGATATCGTATTTTAATTGATCTAAGATACTACTGGGAATTCTTACTGAGTGGAGTTTGAAATGAAACAGATTTGAACGATTGTTAATCAGTTTTTCTATTAAATATTTTAGAATTCTTTTCTGGAAACTTATATATAAAAATTGAAAATGGTTTAAGGTCAAGATCTAGTAAATGAAAGGTGCCTACAGATTTCTCAAATTTGAGAAATAAATTCCTTTAATGATGCTTTATAACTTTAGCTTGGTTAAATAAGGTGTTGCGGGGCATAATTTGTAGATGAACAAGACGAAAAATCATATTTTAAACTTTCATTATCAATGAAAAATTAAGAAAACCAGTCATGAATACGGGAGTTTTTACCATATCAGACAAAGGAAATGTATCCAGATTGCCTATGGTCTCTCAGAAAACGATAATTTGTATGTCCTTGGCCTCTTCTTTGAAATAATATTAAATTGAATATAGGTATCGGGATTACTTTTCACATGATTTCAAATTGAATTCCATGAAAATACTTTATTTTCTACATAATTCTATTAGAGCCGTAAAATACGGGAAAAAGAAAGTTAAAATTGATTATGACGTCATAATGGATCTAGCACCAAAAGGTTAGTATAAAGTCCTTAACTAGATCTTGACCTTAAATTGTTCTTTTTTCATACGTACATGTATCAAAGAATCAAGAATAATGGTGAGCACTAGAAATTCGGCTGAATGTAATTAGTTAGATAAGCTACTTCGATTTACGAGTATAGTATGCTTGCTGGTTCCTGCTTAACAAAGTTATTCAGACGTAACTGCAAATTTAACTTAATTTTATATCTTTGAAGAGTGGCATCGAGAGAGGGCAGATGTACTCTACGTTATAATTGGACCAAAGGTGAGGGATTTGAAAATATAAAAAAGAAATTTTGAACTGCACATGGACATGTAATTATACTTATCAAATTCATCTGCTTAGTTACTAAATCGTTTCAACTTACTTTCACAGCATGAAGAGGATTATTTTGCTAAATTTCAGGAAGCAATTGGCAGGTCTGAAAAACTGATAAAATACTTAAGTATGTAAAGGGCGGAAAGGGTGGGCTTGTACATTGAAATATAAACCATTGCATATTGAAAACAAAAATTTAATTGAAGTGGTTCTTCAAATAAACACAAATAATGAATTTCACATTGAACTACTTTTATATTTATAAACAAAGGTAAAAAATTTGAAAAAATTCCATTTTATCCTAGAAAGGACGGCATAATATACTTAGGAGAAATGGACATTGAAGATACACATGCATGCATGAGGGACTGTAGCGCACTGGTTAACACATCTGAGAGTGAAGGCATGGCCGCTGTCATTTTAGAGGTACATGTACTAGCATGTATGGTATACTAAATTTAATTGAATTTTGTTTTTATCGCTGTCTTCCATAAAAGTGTCGACGTTACAAAGCTGAGGCTGGTTTCCTCTGAAATCAGTCATGACTTGGCCAAAAGTCAACAGAGTCAATGTGACATAACAGCTTAAAACAACTAACTTAAGATAACTTTGTTATATGCCATTTTATTTTTTAATATATGGACTGCATGTAATTTTATATCGTGAAGGATTTTGTTTCATCAGAATTTTTATCTATCATTTAAGTCCATGGACTTGGGTACACCAGTAATGGCGAGGTGTAACGGTGGAAACGAAGCTCTGATCCAAAATAATGTCACGGGTTTCCTGTTCTCTTCTCCAGAGGTGTGTCAATGGATATTTCAAAATTGCTCAATAATCATGATTCAAAAAAAAAAACATAATGTGCATCTTTCAAGACTCTATACATTTTTATTTTCTAACAATTAAAACAAAACTCTTTTCAAAATAGGTACATATACTATACATGTAAACACGATCTGGTAAATGACCATTGCTTGTTTGTGCCTATAAGACCCATACATGCAGTAATATTACCTAGGCGTCGGAAGCAATTAAAAGGTTGGGGCAATATAGCAATGGCTAATGATAAAACGCCGCTTAATGATAGTTGAAAGGGGGGGGGGGCGCTAAACCAAAAATAAAAACGTTTGGGAACTAAGCTCTAATTTTAATGCCTATATTATGTCTATCTTTGCAGAAAACGGGGGTGGGGTTGGGGGGCTAAGCACCCTCCCCCGGGTTACGACGCCTATATATTACATAATTTAGTATAATGACATCAAGTACCCATCTAAAGTATATACATGTATGTTTCAAAAAAAAAAGAGACAGCATTAAAATTCCATCCTCACAGCGACAGGGTTCCTTAGTCCACTTGTAGCCGTTGGTCCCACGATCACGAGTGAGCTCAGGACCCCTGTCGTTAAGAGGATGTACAGTGTAAATACTTCCTCAACCTTTTCATGAATTTCAGGAATTTAAAGATACTGCTAATGCTTTCATCAAAGATGCAGCGGTTAGAAGCGAGGTAACTCAAACAGCCAAAGCGCAGATACTACGGGGCCATTCGCCAGAAATCGAAAGAAATGCTTATCATAAACTGATTAATGACTTGAAACACTGATATTACACTGTGAAGCAAAGAAACAAGTTGCAAAAATATAAAGAATCACATTTACATGTTTGACTCACTACTGAATTGGAGCTGTGCTCATTTATGTACATGGAATTGTGTTCTGTCCGTTGCGATTTATACTTAAAACTTTTATAGTAATTCAATGTTATAATTAATAATTATATACTTTACTTTTGACACAGGGTAATATAAAAATGGGCTCAAGATGGAGAAAAGGAGTTTTTATACTGTTTTTTAAATTATAATCGCTTATTTACTTATAATTCATTGATATAAAAAAAATGCAATATTGTTAAATGTGCCAAATAAATAAAATGAATTCATGCACATGGACTTTGTTATTCTTTCACCAAAGAATTTTCAAACCTATAGATGAATTTAATTTTTTTTTTAAAAATCGTTGACAAAAGGAATCATACAGATATATGTAAAAGATGTATCCTAGAAATATTTCAAAATTATGGGAAAAGATAATAATTTGTAATTTTTTTCAGTTTCTGGCTCATAGACGGAATTCCGATATTCTATAATTATGCAATATCGTAATTGTGATTATTTATTTGTAGTTATTGTATTTGGCATGTGACACTTAAATCAATTACTTAGTTACTTGGCAGAAGTCTTTGATAAATATTTGATCAATACAGTGTGTACGTATATTGTGGAAAACGTATTGGGGGATCTTGCACTTGTGCATGGATATTACACATGTAATTCTACACATGTATACAGTAATTTCTGGTGATTGTTTAAAGATAAGTGTATCCAAATGGTACTGCATTTTTTTTTAATTGGCGAAACAGGCACATTATGTATTTGTCCAAATTTAGAGAATTGCAGCTTAGCCACGTTAAAAGGCCGTTGGAGACTGGACACACCATTTATCTGGCTTGTGTAACTGTAGACTTTTTAAAAAAAAGAAATTCAGAAGGGAAAAAACGTATTTGTAAAATTGAAGACTGACATTAAATAAGTTAAATTCTTTCAGGCATTAATAATATACAATTATTGCTGGTTTTTGAGGTCAATACGATGATTTAGACACCTGAGGAGTACAATATTCACCGAGCCCGAAGGGCGAGGTGAATATTGTACTTCGAAGGTGGCTAAATCATCGTATTGACCGAAAAAACAGCAATAATTGTTTTATTATATGATTCAATAATTAAATGACACACACTCATTAAGCAATCCGTGCCATCTTACTTGTCACATCTACTGAAGTACTAGCCGAACATTATGAGAGAAACGGGCTTAAAAAAACAGTTGTATTATTTTGGAATTTTTAATTCTAGTTTAGGTGCAATGTAGAGAAGATAAATATCAGGCACATATATAGGATTGATTTTGATAAAGGGGGCATTAAAAGGGAAAAAAATGACAACTTACCTGAAAACAAATCATTGACCAACTCTCCACCCCCCCCCCACCCCTTTATAAAAGGAAAAGAATTCTCCAAAATCAAAATTTATTTGGTAGGATGTAAATGTCCATAAACTTTTCGAGGGGAGGGGGGCTTTCATTGAAATTTTTTATCCTTAAAATTTAAGTCAAAACTTTACTTTGTCAAAAGGTTGGGAGAGGGGCAGGCCTCTAGCAAACCCCCCACCCCCACCCCGACCCCTCACCCAAGAATCTGTGTGCCTTAATGTTATGTTCATATGAGTGGATGTCATGTGCAAGTGAAATAACTTTCCAAAACTAGTTTCATCAATTTGGAATTTCCCTACCTATTTTTGGTCCAATGTAGAATAAATAAATCCTTATATTGTTGGATCTCTGCCAATCAGAGATAAGGAATTATTCAATCATATAATAAAACAGCTTGTTGGGACGATTTCCCTGGCAGGTGTAAAGACGAATAATGACCCGTCTTTACACTGGTTTCCAGCATATTATATAAAACGGTTTGCAAATACGTACACTGTATGTACATGTACATGCATACACCCATGGCTACCATGTATGCTTATAATATGCCATAGCATCCACATTATTGTTTCACCAAAAATATAAATATATAAATTAGAGAAATAACATAATCGTATATCAGTTTCAATATTTGTTTCATTATTCGGAGATAATTTGTTAATGCATTATCTCCACATAATAATGAGAATCAATCTAACACTCCTGAATATTGGAACTTTCAGATGCTCCTCTCACTTTGACCCACTGGGTTGGGGTGGGGGGATGGGGGGTAATGGAGTTCAGACCCCTTGCGATTAGAAAAGCATCCACATTATTTTTGCCTAGCTACGCCACTGAATTGTGCATATTTTAAATAACTATAGGTATAATAACTCTCAGTCGTATATACATAAACAAGATAATAATGTACATGTAGCGGATTGTAACGTATACCTTTGCTGTAATCCGGAATATTTTAAACAATCGTAATTTCCTCTGTTACTGTTCAATCATTATTTCCCATCGCAAAGCAGATTGCGTAATTTGGCGCGGTTTACCCATGTGATGCAGATCGAGAGCGAGAAGCTGACAAACACCTTTACAAGATAGCAACACGAAGTAAGGGAGACTTCAAAAAGAAGGTATAATTAGTTTTAGGATTTATCTTTAGTTGTTTTTACTTTTAATGAATTTAAAATATAATGATAAAACACATGGAGAATGACCATAAACGCAGCATGGGTCTAATGTTGCATTCCAATGTGATGGATGTGTCACTTGGTGACCTAGTTTTTAGATTCTCTTAAAGTTATACATGTATTTTTACTGTTTGATGATCAGAAATTTAGTAATTTATTGAATTAAGAAATAAATCAAATCTTTTCAGAATTTATGCATCTTAGCTCTTTATGGCATACATTTTTACAGTTATTCCCCTTTCCCCGGATGTAGGGGGCGTATTCATCGTTGCGGTCCTCCATTACAACTGTAAACATAGCAAGTAATATTTTCCCCACATTTTAGAAGTGATTCGAGATTTTTATTATGCCCTCGTCGTGTTGTTGTGTGCCAGGGTGTGCCAATAGGGGAGGACATCGTTTTCCAAGAGATGATGCCCTCCGTAGACAGTGGATTATTGCTATCAAGCGTGACCAGAAGCCGGGAAGGTTGTGGCGACCTTCATCATCTAGCGTCGTCTGTAGCCAACATTTCAGACAGGATGACTACATTCAGGAAACCATCCACGGTACAGTTGTCTCAAAAAAGTTTGTTAAATTGTTTATTCATATTTCTTTTTTTTTGTTTACAAATTTCTTAATTGAATTAACGAGTTCAACATCTCATCATACAATCGTATCTGAGTGTATAACCGTGTTTATATATCATAGCTAAGGAAGGCTTCTTGAACTGATTTACAAATCTCAGTGAATAGAATAAAATTAAATATTACATATTTTACACTTGGCTTGAGTATCGCAAGCTACCTAACGATAGATAGCCTATACATCACAATATGGTGATACAATACATGTATCATTATACAGCTGTCAACAATTGAATTGACCGTTATCTTTACGTATTATTCTTTGCTAACATCCACAGTTATAAAAAGAAAATATAAAAATATATAATATCTTGAAACCCCTTAACAAAGTTTATTATAGGTGCATTTATGGTCTTGAATCTTGACATTGTATTTGTTTTCAGTCATTTTAAAACATTGAAATTTGTTAGGTTGTATGTAGAAGTTTCAAACAAAACAATGAAAATTATAATGTACTGTATCATGATACATACATGGCGATAAATATGCGTTTGCTGCACCCTTGTGATCAATTCGATCAATGTATTGCTGTTTCGTTACACCTCTGTTTTACACTTGTTTAGTCATACCGTTTACAAGATTTTTACAGCGACTTCAAGATACAGTCTACAACCGATGAGCAAAGATGGTGCTAACATTTCAACACCCTTCAACAGTTACAACAGGGAGTTACTAATTTTTTACACATCTGATCAATTTATATTATACTGCTTTTTTTTTTTTTTTAAATCATATTCTGAATATATTTACCAAATCAATCTCAAGTATCATGTCACCAAGGAAAATGTTAAAACATTTTGTTTTCTCAAGTCCCATTTTATTAGACAAATACTGTAAAACTTTGGTATGTGGGTTCGATTCCCACCCAGGGCTTAACATTGCAAATTACATTATCTGAATCATTTCATACATGTAAATACAAAATCAAATTCATGCCTTGTCTCCAAATTTTACTTTGATTTGCATGAACTAATTTATAATTTAGTTTATATTTTTCAACATTTCTTTATAACTATTTCTTGTTTTTGTTTTTTAAATAATTTTCCATTTATCCTGCTAAGTACTTTTAAATTATACATCAAACATGTATGGAAATTCTGTGATAATTTAGTTTGCTGATGCTGGTGCTAAAGGAGGATATGTTGCCCTGAGCCTCCACCAAAGTGTCAATTCATATTTTTTTTCAAAATCATCCAAGATTTAATTTAAGTTTTATTTTAAAATTCAGGATATTAAAATAAACAACATGCATCTTTAAAATTAAGTAATTTACCAATGTCAAAAAAAAAAAATACATGCAAACACTTATAATTTAATTTCCAAAAATAGGTACTACACCACTGAGAAAACAGTTAAAAGACAACGCTGTCCCAAGCATTTTTCCTTGGCGACGAATCCAGATAGTTGACTCTGAATGTGGCACACTGAGGTCGGGAAAAGAGTACATCAGCACGGTCACACCAGACGAGAACTGCAGTGATGGCACATCTTCCCTGGTATGCGAGGATTCAGTGTCAATGTGTGACGAAGTCCAGAGCGAGGTGACCATCGAGGCTACTGAAGATGACCATGACGTACCACTCTCCTCTACCCAGAGCATGGATTTCCTTTCTTCTTCCTTTCCAGTGGACTCGTCTACACAGACACCTCCAAGACCCATTTTCAGTATTGAAAACTTTGCTAATGACAATGCTGGTATTATGTTTTATACGGGTCTGTCTTCCTATCAGGACTTTTTATTTGTTTTGCAAACACTTGGTGAAGCTGCTTACAATCTGAATTATTTGTATTCTCAAGTAGACAATGTCAGTGTCCCAGATCAGTTTTTTTTAACTTTGATCAAGCTTCGTCAGCATAAGACAAATTTTGAACTGAGTAGGCTTTTTAGCATTTCAGAGTTTTCAGTATCTAATATCTGGATCACATGGGTGAATTTTATGTCACGCCAATGGAGAGAAGTTGACCTGTGGCCGGAGAGAGATCTTGTAAAGTTTTTTTCCCCGACAGACTTCAACAGACAGTTTCCTACCACGAGGGTGATCATTGATGGAACGGAGTGTCCTGTGATGAAGCCTACACCACCCATTGCACAGCAGAGCACCTTCTCCACCTACAAAAACAGGAACACAGTTAAAGTTTTAGCTGGAGCAACACCTGGTGGTCTAATTTCTTACCTGTCCCCTGCATATGGAGGTTCCACATCCGATCGTCAGATCGTGGAAAGATCTAGACTAACAACATTATGTGACAAGGGGGACAGCATCATGGCTGACAAAGGGTTCAATGTACAGGACCTTTTTGCACCCTATGATGTCACTGTTAATATACCAACCTTTTTTAAAAACAGAAATAGAATGTCTGGCAAAACAATTCAAAGAGATAGAAAAATTTCAAGTAAGAGAGTTCACATCGAACGAATTATTGGCCTGGCAAAAACATTTAAAATTCTTACTCAGCCACTTAACACGACTGAAACCAAACTTGCATCTGAAATTATATTTACTTGTTTTATGCTTTGCAATTTCAGACAGTGCATCATTCCAAAGAATGCTTGAAAATACCAGCGAGTGAATGCCCTTGAGTAAAGTGTCTGTCAGTCAGTCGGTCCAGTTTTCATTTTGGAGAAGTGTTCCTCTTTTTAGCTCATCTGAGCAGAAGGCTCAAGTGAGTTCTTTTTAATCATAGAGTACCCAATCCACCTGTCGTCTGTAATTTTTTCACATTTTTGACTTCTCCTCAAGAATCACCAGGCCTATTTCAAACAAACTTGCCACAAATCATCCTTGGGTAAGGGGATTTCAGTTTGTTCACAGGAAGTGCAATGATCTTTTTCAAGGATAGATAATTAAAATTCATAAAAATATGGTGGCATCCTTTAAAACTCTTCTCAATAACCACTGGGCAAGAAAGGATGACACTTGTGTGAAAGCTTTATTACTTATTCTAAGATTCATGTTTGTTCACATCATAACCCCTAGGAGTAGGGCAGGGACACAAGAGGGGGTCAAAATTTAAAATAGGAATATATAAGAAATGTCTTTAAAAATCTTCTCGAGAACAGCAAAGTCATGATAAGTCATATTATTAAAGAACATTCTGCCAAGAAAAAGTTAACTGTCTTTGTAGTTTGACATCAATGATCTTAACCATTTCACATTTTTAAACTTCTTCTCAAGAACCACTGAGCTGTATTCAAATAAGAGGCCATGCCCCCTTTCAATAGGAGATAATGTTAATTACCTTTTAAAAATCTTTTGAAGAAGAACAACTTGGCTAGCAAGGATGAAACTTATGTGAAAGATTCATTACATAATGTAGATTCAAGTTTGTTTAAAATATGACCTTGAAGTGCTGGCCATGGCCACAATATGTAATCAAAGTTTCACATGGGAATATATAGGGTAAAAATCTGTTGCTGAAGAACAGCAGGGCTATTGATTCAGATGAGCATTATGACCAATGGGTCTTTTGTTTACATTTGTTTCTGCAGATTAATGATTGTAGATGTATATATGGGGTACATGATATGTAAAATCTGAATTTGCTATGCACTCAGGGCATTAATCATGTATTGAAAATTTGTTATGACACAGCATCTTAGTTTTCAATGTCTCATTCACATGGTCAGCTAGAAATATGGTTGTGTGCCATCATCTTAAGAATAATGTATGTATATCGCTTATAGATAATTGAATGTGTGCATGCCATTTGAGGTTTTGATTGCTCATACCCAAAGAATGAATTAATAAAAAGGATTTGTCCACATGCACCTACATATAAGCATCCAATTTTTTTTTGAATGATGAAGAAACTCCTGCTCTTTAAATACTAGTACACTGTATATACAGTTGAACTTCGGTATCTCGAAAACTGATATCTCGAATACCATGAGTTCGAGATAGTGAGGTTTGACTGTATATGTATTGTTAGTACACATGAATATGTGGTGTGTATCCAAAAGAATATTTAGAAAACCACAAGAAACACTTTGATACTGACTATTTGCCCCGATATTAACTTTTAATAAATAAGAAAAAAGTGTAGATCTTTAGTTAGAATATATATATTTTCAGTACAAGTTATGAAATAAGAAACTTGAAAACATTCATACACCAAACATGTAGAGAAAACAGGAATTCATAAAGGAAGAAATACAGAAATAGTCTAATCATAAACAACCAATATCAACCCATCATGATACTCAGTTCACATGCAACAAAATACAAATGCAACTTGATACTACAAATGGAGAAACTATCTCTAAATGATTAATCACTCCCATTATAAATTGATCACAAGGATATCCAGAACCTACAGTGTCACAGAATACATGCACAATGTTACAGACAAGTTAATAATGCATAAAGAAAAAAAAAGATTCATGAGAGAATAACTGACCAAAGGAGTAAGCAATGTGATAAAAAAAAAAAAAACAATGAATGATAAAGAATTACACTGAATACAAATGAAACAGTCTGATATTAGAGAAAGAATCTCCTAGATTTATTAAATTGACTACAAGGGTATATAGAATCTACTAAATCATATACACATATATGCACAAGTTACAGACAAGAAGATGTGAAAATGCATGAAGAGACTGATTTATGAGAGAAAAATTGTCCACAATGGTAAACAATGTGATGAAAACCAACCAATGATAATACCATCTACCTGTGCATATTGCTATACATTGTAGACCAACTTTGTTTTTAAAAAATGGTTTTCTGCTAATTCCTTCCTTATCAAAATGAAAAATTGTTATACTGCTTGAAATAAAACTTTTCTAGTACAGCATTCTTGAAATGTAATTGAAAAAACTGCTTAAGCTTTTCTAACATCTGTTCAATAAATGCATCATCCCTCTCAATTTGAAAGATCTTAATATCTTTGAAGGTATAAACCACAAAATCACAAGAATTTTTTTCACAACAAAACAACTGTCCCTGAACCTGATAATAATAATCATGGGTAGGGTCTAATGTAGTTCGACCATCGATAACTTTCAGATAAGGAACTGTTTGAGTTGTAATGAACTGATTTTTTGATGAAAAAGGACACTTAACCTCTACAAGTTTATCTTGTTCTACAACAATAGCATCTGGACTGGCTGCCAAAAAAGGAAAAGTTTTACTAACGAAAGTTCCACAACATTTGGTGACCTCTCCAGTTACTTCAAAATACTTTTGGAGGGCCACAGATTCATATTTTTTACCATGAACAATTGGAGCTGCCTTAATATCATGTACAAAAGTAAAAGATTTAGCTAAGTTATTCTTATCTGTCCTATCTGTACATTTGCAAATGCGGCCAAATTTTGATGAATGCATTCTTTTACATCTTTCTGAAAGCCAAAATTTGTTTTTACATTGACCAAGTGTGTTTTGTTCTAAGAGACAAATTTCTTCACTGCTTATTTTTGTAATGTTTTGTTCTTCAAGCCAAATGTCAGAAAGTTTTGCATTTAAATAGTCATGGTCAAGGTCAACTGCATATGTATTTGCTGGAGAAAACAGCTGGGAAATAGGAAGACAATTGACAGAAGCATAATTAATACAAGTGTTTCTAAAAAAATCATTGTACCCTGTACTTTTTCTAAATTTAGCTGGTCTGGGATCAAAGTTAAGAGCATTGATGTCCTTTCTAGCAAGCGGCAAATCTTGAGCTTTGATGGGGCTACCAGAAAATGGTTTACATTTGTGAAAGGTTTGGATTTTTTGGGTACAGGTTTCTTCAGTTAAAAGTTCTTTGGAAGAAGAAAACTTGCAAACTGCTAACAATAAAGCACAAACATGCTTACAATGTGCTTTAGGTCCCATGCCCGCAGCACACTCACATTGAGTTTCAACAACACAACCATCTTGATCAATACAAACATCAATTTTGTATGTCACAGACTTTTTCATTTGGGCATGACACTCGCTTTTGAAGAAGTAAAAGTTATCTGAGCAAGCCAAGCGAATGTACTTGAGAAATCTGTTAGTGTATAGATTTTCTGAAATGACGTCAATACTTTTGTTCTCTTGACCAAGAAAAAATTCCACGGCAGACATTTTCACAGCCACACACACACTATCTTTATTCAGATCTTTGTACACAACATGATCAGGCACACTCATGACATATTCTTCACTCTCTAACTTCTCTCTACCAAAATCTTTATTTCTATCATACGCTTCAAGTCTGAAACATATTATGTTATAATAGTATTTTTGAAATTTACAAATTACTTACGATATAGCATTAGAATCTCATTTTTAGCATGATTTACATTTTACTTAATCTACACAGCAGACTCTGGGTGGGTGTGACCGGTCGACAGAGGATACTTACTTCTTAGATTGATGTTTGTTTGTTAAATCAGTCAGACACAATACAGGGTTAATCAAAATTACAAAGTGGGTGTATTAAAAAAAATAAAGATATTATTAAACTTATCAGAAAGGGTACCCAATTTTACTATATGAAATACTAACAAACTAAATAATTTAAAACACTTTTTTGCTTTTTTTATATCTACTCTGACACATAAAAACAATCTACATTAGGCCTATTGCTAAAGTTCATTCAAAAATTCCATTTACTTTCCGAGATATGCTGAAATCAACAGATCAATGTGCAAATCTGACCTATTAATTTTTACACAAAACTTGGGCAACCCTATCATATCTCAGTCAGTACGTCAGTCTAAGTTGATCAATCTGGCCTGTGATAATAAATTATGATCAGAGACATGGAGGAGATAATTATTTTGATGTATGCATCATGTGCAAATATCTGAATTATACCCATTTATAGGCGTATACCAACTAAGGCAACTATTCATATAAAAATATGTGTATCAATAACAAGAGTGTTCCAAGGACTTTGTATTAGCATTGATTTGGAAAATGTAACTGTTTAAGTTTTGAAGGATCGCTGTTCTACATGTTCTATCGATGGTAAACTTAGCTATATATATATTTTCATATTCTAACTTTATCAGCACTGAGCAGACGACACCATTGCATTGCATTGGCTCCAACTTATATTTTAACTGAATACAATCCAAACGCTCAAAAGTTCAACAGATTTAATCATTTTTGATCGCATCACCGTAAAAAAAAATAAGTAGCGATTGTTCATAAGATATACAATATCGTATACAAAGGGGTCCAGCAACCAGCACGACGACAGGATAAGTAATGTCAGTGAAATTACTTTATCGAGAAAATGCATAAAATACTGAAATAGATATAGCCCTTACCTTTCTACCAGCTCCCTCTTCCTCCCGGAAACTCTTGCTCCTCTGTCTCTTAAGGCTTGTTTAAGCTTTGGGAGATCCCACATACCATAATTAATCTTGTCGGCCGCCATATTTGTGAATAGTAGGACCGCAACGAATCGTGCGCCCCCTATATTTAGGGGAAGATAACACCGCCAGTACTGTGCGCAATGAATGCCAATGTTTTTCCCGCCATCATAAATTATGAGGTCCACTCTCGAGCCCGATAGGAATTTTTAAAAAAAAATGCAATTTTCCCCCCTCCTTTTTCACCAAGTACAACTTCATAATTATATTTGTTTTTAACAAAAACATATGTTTGGCCTTGAAGGTTTATGGGTCTTTGGTTTGGTTCGTAAGGTAAGTTTTTTTCTTGCAGAAATTTTACTGTTTGACCCATATATTCTACTTGCTCTGTGAGCCACCACAAAAAAGGATGTAGGCTTTAAATGTCAGATTGAAATTGCTGAGGAGTTTTAAAGCCCAGAGCACTTCTAAATTATCTGGTGTCTGTGAATGAAATTGTCAGTCAATCTTTTGACTTTTAGGTTTAAAAAATGGAAACACCATACAGATATTAATGGCACCATTCAAAAAAATTTTATCCCCCCAATAATTGTTGACAAGGCGTTTATTTGGGTACCAATTGAACATTTTTGACTTAATGGCCTTGGAGTTTGACCCTACTTTTGAAAAACTTCATCTCAACCTTGAGCTGTCATGCAGAAGCATCAGTGTTTCACAAATACATTCTGTTTCTCAATCAAAATAATAAAAATCATCCTGAAAAAATCCTACCTAGAGTTTTATTAGAATTGAAATGTCAAAACTTAGATGCAGGTAACCCCATGTTTCTCATTTTCTACTGTTATAGTTATGCGGCATGGCAAATGTGACCAGATGTAGAACCAGTCCTTGACACATTTGAACATTGCCCTTACATAAAAATAAGCATGTATTTAGATTTTCTTAATGAAACAGGGAGGGAAATATGATGTGTAGGGAAAAAGTTCTTTACATATCATTGACATTATCAAGGGGATAGGAAAAAAAAATATAAATGGATGATTTATGCCAAAAAGTCATTAACAACAATTCCTATTGTTGCATACATGTAAACATAATATTACTGAATTGACAGCTATACAAAGTAATTTAAAAAACTACACAGTTGATGTCATATAGAGTTTGTGAGTGGACCCCAAATAGCCAGGCCCTACAGCAAAATAATATGGAATATATTCATATATAATCTGAAATAATCATAACCTCTTTGAAAATACTACCACCTTTGTGTGAAATTTTTGAAACTGAGACATTTTTTTCCTTGCAACTTACCTATAAATTTTAGGCAATAAAAATAATACGGTTATGTGCTAATTTGCACACAACAGTGTGTGCAAAACCTGTGTGAAATGCTAAAAAAAGGTTATTTCAAGACAGCTTGGATTCTACAAAAAATGCGCTAAAAAAGAGACAAAGTGCGAAATCACATTTAAAATCAACATTAACTTAAACTATTTGACTTGTATCTTTCAAATGAGGGCAAATTCATCATAATTCATCTTGCATGAAAAACTATAATAGAGCACAACGTACATGTAGTATCCCCCATTTTTTGCAGTGTTTTTTACAATTATGTCGTGCATTATAGGTAATATCTTAAAGAGTCTGTGTGTGAAAATGTGGTTAATATTTTTTTTAAAGAATGAATTATCTTTTTATTTAGATAAAGAAAAAAGTATAATTTTATGAGAAAATAAACAAGAAATATGTAGTTTTCATTAATTTTCATACTGTTGTGTCATAAATATTGACCTTTCTGCTAGTGATGTACCGATTAATTGATTAAATCAATTTTCTAATCGAAATGGTCCCCGATTATAGATAATCGATTATAATTTTGATAATCGATTAATCAAAATATTAGTAAAAAGCAAATTATTCTTATGAATTCATAATTCATTCTTCTATGAATATCACTAAGTCCTAAGTAATAATTTAATAAATGAGTCCAATGATACAAAATACATCAAAAGTGCATTTTAGAAATCATTCCTGAATTTTTTACCCATTTATTCTTCATTCAAAAATGAATAAATTAAATTCTTGAAATCAATCGATTATAGTGCATTTGATCATTTTAATAATCGATTATGAAAAGAATTCTGATTTCCCATCACTACTTTCTGCACTGAGGCATCTTTTAATTTTACTTTATATATAGGTTTACACAGTTTTTCAGGTGAAATATATTAACAATATTCTGCACTAAGACAAGTGATTGACATATGAATATAAAATTATTTTGTGGAAAACAAGTATTTTGTTTAGATTAATGACTGTTTACATTTTTCTACCTGATTTCATTCATTCTCTTGGGACTGGGGCCAGGGCCATTCAAATGATACTTATATACAGAAACTAATGCTGTTAAATTAAATGTGTTATATCATTGTATTTTGTAATTTAAGTTAACAAACAACTATGTCAAAACAGAGAGGAAATTTCACACGATATCATACAGACATCTAATACAGTTTTATGTCTTGACAAGAATGAAGCAAGAAGAACTGAGACTTGATTCCTGCTTTCTGAGCATGCAGGAAATGGCATTACATTTAATCTGACATGACTGATATTCACAAAAACTTTAAGTTACCATTTTTATAAAATTATTTCAAAACATAACTCGGTAAATTTGCCATATATTTGACGTTAAAACAAAAAAATACAAATGTATACAAAACAAATCAAACAACATTCTAGAAAATATACAAAAGAAAATTCAATAGAAATGTAAGATTCAGTAAAGAAGATTCTATTTGTATATCAAATTTGACTAGATTTTATGACAGTGGAGCAGATAAAACTGTTTCAATTTCGGAAATGGCACAAGTACCAGTTTCCAAGAGTCATGAGTTTCCCCGCGAAAACAACCGCCGTCCGAATTTATTCCCATTTTTGTCAGTGATTTAAAAACCCTTTTAGTTTTTAACCTTATACATGATTTTAAAAAACTCCAACATTAAATTGGCACAAAGACCTTATGATCATACATGTATGCACGATTCCAAGCATGGCTGCTAGTTTCATCTAGCAAATCAGACAGGACATTGTACCATGAAATTTCTATGTTGAACTGGTATATCTGTCCTTCAGTGTACCTTTGCTTTTTAGAAACACATTAACATAGAGTTATGCCATCAAATTCTGTTATACCAAGTTGGCAGCCATTGCTTGGATTCGTGATGCACATTTTATTCAACATCACATTGCATGGTGCTTATAAATGAAAACTGTTCAATCAGTCAAGGGTTTACATGATTCTTTCTCATCCCATATACATGTATTACTCAAACCTACATATCCTTAATCCAGATGAATATAACAAGAAAAAAATATGAATCCTATCGGTTGAAAAAATTTCTTCGGACCGCACTGATTTATGTGAGTTGGCCGGCAATGCCAAACAAAGCTAATTTTATTTTTGGCCTCACATATATATAGTCCTTTAGACTGATACATGTAGCAAAAGATAAAAAAAAGTGAGGATTCACATGCAAAGGAAGATAACTCTTCCATCTCTGTTATTTTTTCAGATAAAAATGAGCAGCCAAGACAACTGTGAAAAATCCATGGATCAGTTTGTGGAATCCAGATGTTCACAAGATAGTCCCATGTCTTCCAATTCATCATCTGGAGGTTTTCAAGACACATGGGCAGAGAGAAAATCTGTGCTGCAGTGTAATAAGTACATGTTGCTGAATAAAGAGGGATGTGATGTCACTTTCCTTGTGGGTGCGAATAGCACACCCATTAAAGCCCACAAGTATGTGCTGGCAAGCAGGAGCCCTGTATTTTTTGCCATGTTTCTAGGACCAGCAAAGGAGTCTTCTGATGAAATCATAGTACCTGATATTGAAGATCTTGTATTTGAGAAGTTTTTAAGGTGAGTTCTACCTAGAAAACTGAGAATGATACTTTTATTTGACTTAAATCATGATTGTACCAGCCAAAATAATTGATGGAGAAAAATTTGGTAACATTTTTAATTAAAATTGCTTCCACGTGGTACCTCCTATTTTTGTAAAAGTACTGCCCATTTCTAATCTTTTTGAAAACATAAGAAAATTTTAACTTTGTTATGATTGCCCCTTTAATGTATTTGAAAAAAAAAAGCAGTTGATTAAGTATAGTTTTCAAACATACTAGGCACCACATATGAATTGTGTACGCAGGGTTACAAATAATCACTTGCCTACTTGCAAATGCAAGTAATTTTGCCTGTGGGCGACTAATTCTTGAGGATGTTATCGCCCATATGGCGAGTAAGAATTTTATGGGATCTTTTCTGGAACCAGATCGTAGTTTGCTTCTACTATTAAATGGACTTTCGTTTTCACTGTTTTCTTCCTATGAAACATTTTTGAAGACCCAGAATCCTGTCAATGATGCGCTTCCTTAAAATCAACAGTAGCGGGTTTTTGTCCATATCCTATTAAGATGCACACTGTGTATTATTCACAATAAACAGCTTTGTATTCATTAATTTTCCACCTGAAAGAAGAATGTTGAAGACTTTTTCTGATTTTTTGCTGCTCCCCGTTGGTTAAAATATTTCACATTTTGAACTTTGGACATTGGTAAAGTACGCTTTCTGTAATTTTATGATAGAAATTAACATATAACTCAAAATTCATGCCTTGAAGTGAATGAAAACTGGATTTTAATACAAGCCGTGTTGAAATCTCCAGGAAAAATTGAAAAGAAATACTCAGTAAAGTATTTTTCTTTGAGATTATAATAAAAAAGGTTTTTTTTTTAAGTCACCTGAGTCACTCAGGTGACCTATTGCTATCTGTTTTCGTCCGTCGTCGTGCATCGTGTGTTAACATTTGAACATTTTCAGCTTCTTCTCTGAAACCACTGAACCAATTTCAGCCAATTTTAGCATATGGCATCTATGTGTGAAGGGGAACAACATTTGTGAATATCATGGTCCCTGCCTGAATATCATGGTCCCTGCCCCCCTGGAGCCTGAGGGGTGGGGCTAAAACCACCAAAATTAATGCAATCTTTAAAAATCTTCTTCTTTACTCCTGGACATCAAGCAGTCAAACTGTTGGCATGATTGTAATAAGCATTGAACCCTCTACCAAAATTGTGAAATTCATGGCCCCAGGGTCAGGGGTTCTGGTGTTAGGACGGGGCTATATAGATCATATAGTGAAAGTGCATTATTTCTTTGAAAATCTTCTTCTCTACTCCTGGGTATTATTGAAACAAATTAATTACATAGTTATGTTAAGCAAGAGTGACTCTACCAAAATTGGGAAATTCATAGCCCCAGGGTCAGGGGTTCTGGTGCTAGGGGGAGGGGGAGGGGCGCTATATAGATCATATAGTGAAAGTGCATTATTTCTTTGAAAATCTTCTTCTCTACTCCTGGGTATTATTGAAACAAATCAAATACATAGTTATGATAAGCAAGGGTGACTCTACCAAAATTGTGAAATTCATGGCCCCAGGGTTAGGGGTTCTGGTGTTATGGTGGTGCTATATAGATCATATAGTGAATGTGCGTTATTTCTTTGAAAATCTTCTTTTCTACTCCTGGGCATTATTGAAACAAATTAAATACATAGTTATGATATTAGCAAGGGTGACTCTTCCAAAATAGTGATTTTCATGACCCTTGGATCAGGGGTTCTGATGTTTGGGCTGGGCTCTATTTATCATATAGTGAAAATGCATTAATGCTTTAAAAATCTTCTTCTCTTCTCCTGGGTATTTTTTAAACAAACTAAGTACATTGTTATGATAAGCAATGATGCCTCTTCCAAAATTGTGAAATTCATTGCCCCAGGGACAGGGGTTCTGTTTCTAGGGTGGGACTATTATAGATCCTATAGTGAAGGTGAATTTTTTCTTTGAAAATCTTCTTCTCTGCCCCTGGGTACTATTTAAACACACTAAATACATTGTTATGATACACAAGGATGCCTCTTCCAAAATTGTGAATTTCATGGCCCTAAGGTCAAGGGTTCTAGTGAAAAGGGTTTTTTTTTGGGGGGGGGGGCTTTATTGATTATATAGTGAAAAATCAAAATTTCTTTGAAAATATTCTTTTCTGCTTCTGGTTAAAAGCAAAGAAGCTAAGTATATAGTTATGCTGAGCAAGAGTGCTTCTTCCAGAGTAGTGAACTGCATGACCCGGGTCAGATGTGCTGGTGTAAGGGTGGGGCTCTTGATAATATAGTGAAAATGCATTATATCTATTAAATAATCCTGTCTGCTCCTTAGTGTTAAGCAGATAAACAAAGTGATTACTTATGATGAGCAAACTTCTGGTCCCAGGGTGAGAGACTCTAGTGTTTCTTGGTGGGGAGGGGGGGGGGGGGGGGGCTCTATTGATAATATAGTGAATCTGAAGTAAAAATGCATTATTTCTTTAAAAATTTTCTCTGCACTTGGGCATATCAGAGGCAAAAAGATTAAAAGGTTTAATAAGGAAGGGTATTTTTACCAGATTTTTTAACATCTGGATGGACCATTTGTTCTGGTCCTGGCCAGGGCTCTATTAATTTGTATTCTACTGAGAGGAGTTATTCCCCGTTGCCGTTTACTTTTGATCACTGTAAACAATGTACTTGAAAGGTTAATAGAATAAGAGAATTATGCAAGAATTTTTATTGTATAATACAAAAAGTATTTTCATAGTTTTAATGATCAGGTAGACTTGTAAGTAATAGATAAATAAAAATGGAACAAAAATAACTTGTCTTCTTAAATGTTCATCAAAGACCAAGAGAGGCCAATGTAAGAGATTTCAACAAGAAATTAAAATAGTACAGAAGCATTGATAGGTTTTTTAATATGCTTTATAGTGATAGTGATAAATGGGGAACAGATTAGAACCTAATTTATAAACTATCAATGAATACTAGATTAATTATTTTGTTGATCCTGATCACCCTATTTTTCTTGCTTTTGGGCAACAAAGCTTCACCTTTCAGTTCATTTTATACTCTATGGATCCTCTAAATTGTTGTATTATACTCAGGTGACCATTAAGGCCCTTGGACCTCTTGTTTACTAAGTGAACAGAAAATTGTGGACCCCAAAATATCAATGTGGGCTAGTAAAACTTGTGAAGTTGGGGCCCACATAGCCCCTAAGGTTTAAAATGTTATTTGCAACCCTGCTGTACATATGGTGTATGCATGTATTCCACCCCGTACCCATAACCACACCAGACACAATAACTTATCAAAAATACATGAATTCTTAGTTTGTCATACCTGTGTTTCAATATCTGATATTATTTTCTGTTAATTGCTATATATAGTTCTAGAGATTGCCGATCTATGGTATATAAATTTGTTTTTCATATACATGTATATGTACCTTAGCAGGACATCCTTGGAGGGGGGAAGGGGAGGGGGGGTTACATCATCCATGCGTCAGGTACCTGCACAGTGTTTTCAGACTACAATATTTTTACATTGTAAGACATTTATGTTTTTAACAGAAGCTAATTTTAAATTATAGCTTATGAACAGTCAGGGGTGAGACTGAAATCCGTCATTTCTGAAAAATGATGGATAATCGTCATATTTACTAACTACATATTTTCGTCATTTTTGTCAATATGACTTACTATCGTCATATTTTCTTTTTCAACTTAATTCTTCTTTCCTGGTTACGTAAAAGTGAGAGTTGAATTTACCGCTGAAAGAAGAGTTTTTACGCAAGTTTCATTTCATCCGGGTTACTAATTACTGCCGACCACGTGCGTTAGAACATCAACATGGAAGGTGAAAGTTATTATTTAGCGGTAAAATGTCGAATTTTGGTAGAACTAATTCGCCATTTTTACATGGCTTTTAGCCCTATAAAAACATATTGTACACCTTCTGGTAGAATACGTACTTGTAGAGAAAAGTCTCGACAAAAAGTTAAAGCCATAAAAAAGTAGTGCACCCCGTAAAACAAGCGAGATATTTCAGTGCACCCAGACCCTCCATTTTGAAAAAAGACAGAATATCATTTTTCGTCTTCTTTCCTATTTAATGCAAATAAATTGACAAATAACTCTTCCACTCTTATTTTTGCTTGGTAAATTTGTACTGTCAACATAACCAGTATTGTAGTCAACTGTATTAGAGAAATGAAGTTTATTTACGATGTTTTTTGTCCTTTTTTCGGTTGGTGGATCTAACATTTTTCAAAGAGAGGTAACTCGGTATTCTAGAAACACTCTAAATTTATATGACTGTTTTTCGTCATTTTCTTAAAAATGATGAGTTTAAGTCATAATTAAAATTTTATTTTATGACTAAAAATCGTCGTTTTAAAAATGACGGATTTCAGTCTCACCCCTGACTGATGAATAATTTTGATAATTTGAAATTCATTTTTGTAAAAATTGAAAAAAACAGCACTGGTATTTAGATATAGATGATGATTTTTATGACAATAACCCAATAGACTACAGTCAAATGTTGTTATCTCTAACTCGATGCGACCGAGAAAAAACTTCGAGATATCCAAGGATTTGAGATATTGAGGGTAAAATAGGTATAGAATAAGTGATTGGGACCTCCAGATCAGTATCAATGGTATTCGAGATATCAGTGTTCGAGATACCAAAGTTTAACTGTATATATAAAAGAGTTAGATTTTAGAAATTTCAATCTTAATATTATATATGTAATGATGCAGTATTTTACCCTTAGGTACGTTTACTTTGAAGATGTCAAGATTTTGGATGGTGATAACGTCTTGCATGTATTGTATGCAGCTAAGAAATATTCCATGAAAGGTCTGGAATCCAAATGTAGAGAATTTCTTGTTCAACACCTCAACACTGAGAATGTTTGTGTCATTCTAGAAAGTTCTCATACTTTTGGGAATGGTATTATGGAAGAGAAATGTTTGCAGCATATATTAAGAAATGGTGACAGGGTTTTGCAGTCACCGTCTTTCTCTGACCTCTGTAGGAAATGTGTGAAGACGATCATTTCAAGCAACGATCTGGAAGCAGACGAGGCTGTTGTGTTTAAGGCTGCTGTAAAATGGGCCGGAGCAGTTTGCTGCCGAAAATGTTTAACCCCAATAGACAGGAATATTAGAAAAGCACTGGGTGATATTTTGTTTGAGATTCGTTTTCCCATAATGCAGTTGTCATTCTTTGCAGACAAGGTGGCTTCTAGTAACATTCTGATACAAAAAGAGAAAATTGCTTTGTATGAATATCTGTGCAGGTCTGATACTTCAGATGCAAAATTAGAGATTCCATTCAATATGGAATACAGAAAAAATAAGAGTTTTCTTGTTTGCAAGCGATTTAACCACTTGTCTGCAATTTGTGATTGGGAAAATGCAGGGCGCAAGAACTCCATAGCATTTTCCTGCACTCGAGCAATTTGGATGCATGGTATAATGATGTACGAATCATCTTCACTGGATGCCTGTGAAAATTCTGTCATAGTGAGAAATGAACTAGGAGAAGTAATGTATAACTCAGATGAAAAAAGAAACACAAGAAGAGAATTTGCAGGAGGAAAGATGTATAACCTTTTCTTTGGGGAAAGGCTAAAGATTCAGCCACTGAAATTCTATACGATATCAGTCAAAAGCATGGGTCCAAAGAGCTATCATGGAGAGGGTGGTAAACGTTACGTGTCATGCGGCCCATTTAGATTCGAATTTCGGGACAGTTGCACAGAGAAGGTTCCTTTGTTATCCACTTTGGGACAACCTGTAAATGTTCAAGAAACCACCCAATCCACAGGGCAGATCCCAGGAATCATCTTCTCCAGTTGGTTATAAGAAAGTTAACCACCCCCTGAAAGTGAAGTTCTCCAATAGGATCAACACATTTCTAACAAACCTTAACAGCCTGTTTTTCTGGTGTAAAACTGGTTGAGACAGCATGGAATCCATGCACAGGATGTTTTCAAGGGTTTGAGGACAAACAACTTTCAACTTAAAATCGAGATGAAAGAAAAGAATCAGATATCTTAATTCTTGGAAAGAGTACCATTTTCTCATATAGCAACCTGCTTTGAAATACAATGGAAAGGCAGCTCAGATAAGGTTCTCAAATTTCAAGGCAACTAAACAATGTTATGATTGACCTACATGTAAGACTGCTAATATCAAACAATTTTGAAGTGTTGTTTTTTTTTTTTTTTTTTTTTTTTTTTTTTGGATGCATGAAGAAAATATTTAAGTTCATTTCAAAGGCAGAAGAGGTGTATATTTAGTGTAATGTGAATGCATTTTTTTTTTTTGAGACTGATTGATAATTTTTCATTACTGTTGTTTTAATTAGTGCTCAGCTTTGTTGAATTTATATTTGACTATAGTTCCTGGTATATGTAATACATGTACTTTTAGTTGTATTTTTTTAATATATGCATGTTTTTTTAATTATGCTATTCTATGATAGTCTTTCGCATTCATTGTACTCAAGCTCAGATGTATATTTTTGCCACAACAAAGATTTTTAAAGTTTTGTATCATGTTTAAAAGTTCAAAGAATTTGTACATGTAGTTTATGAAGAAAAGGAAGAGATTAACTGGTCATATCAGATAAAAAGCAGAACTTTTAAATAATCAAAATTTGATTTCAAATTTTATTTAAACACTTAAATTGTAATAAAATGGTTTGGAAATGCCATTCTGTGTAAATTCTCTGGAGTCACAGGAACAGTAATAGCAGATTTGTGTGTGATTACTTGGAGTTATCTTCCTTGGCACTTTTCTGTGTAAATGGATCAGGCAATAACTTTAAGGGCAAGTGTGGAACAGTAAGTGATTTTTAATTTTTTTACTAGAGGCAATCCTTTTTACTGACATGTACATGAATGAGGGAATCTCCTCATGCATACCAGTATATTAATTTATAATGATAATAATTAGTGCCCTGTTACACAAGTAGAATTTGTGTTATGCTGTGACAGGGATTCAAGCTATATGCAGTACTAAGTTGATTAAATGTAATTAAACTTTTTTAGCTCACCTGAGCTGAAAGCTCAAGTGAGCTCTTCTGATCACATGTTGTCCGTCTTCCGTCTGTCTGTCTGTCCATCCGTCTGTAAACTTTTCACATTTTCAACTTCTTTTCAAGAACCACTGAGCCAATTTTAACCAAATTAGTACAGAGCATCTTTAGGTGAAGAAGAGTTTAAATTGTTAAAATGAAGGGCCAACTCCTTTTACAAAGGGTGATAATCAAGAAAAGACAAAAAAGGGGTTGGGTCATTTAAAAATCTTCTTCTCAAGAACCCAGAGCCAGAAAAGCTGAAACTTGAGTGGAAGCATCCTTGGATAGTGTAGATTCTAAATTGTTCAAATCTTGACCCCCGGGGGTAGGGCGGGGCCACAATAGGGAATCAATTTTACATTGAAATATATATGCAAAATCTTTAAAAATCTTCTTCTCAAGAACCAAGGGGCCAGAAAAGTTGAAACTTATGTGGAAGCATCCTTGGGTAGTGTAGATTCTAAATTGTTCAAATCATGGCCCCGGGGGTATAGCGGGAAAGCAGTAAGTATTACAAGGGAGGGGTGTCTGGTGAAGAACAGCAGGGCCAAAGTAACTCAGGTGAGCGTTGTGGCCCATGGGCCTCTTGTTAATTACTGATGGACAACAAGGTTTATGATTTTACCAAAATTATGAAAACAAGTAATAAAAGCTAGGGTATAGGCCCTGGGACCATAAAACTTAGACGAGCTCACTTTTGATCTCAGTCTCACTTTTATCAAAGGAATTAATAGTGGAAAAGTGAGACTGAGATCAAAAGTGAGCCCGTCTAAGTTTTATGGCCCTGGGGCCAGGAATAAAGCTGAATAAGTTAAAACTATATTCTGTTTTTGAACTGAGAGTCAATTAAGGCCCACGAGTCAGTAAAAGAACTATCAATTTGATTAATATTGAGTTGTATTATAATGTCAATACTGATCACATATAGTGCAGCAAATGTAAGTATGTTAAAGATAATTGTAATAGTAAAGATTACTAGTACCATAATTGTTAACTGTACGTACTAGTTTGATATAGATATTAAAAATGATTGCGTTGTTACTATTATTTTGTTGTACAATCAAACAATGTTGTTGCAAGTTAAGTATGCAGTTTGTAATTTTGTTTTATACGTTGAAATAGTTGCATGCATTTTGGAATTAAAAAATGATAATCAAGTTATAATGATAGAAATATATTTTTAAAAATAGAATAGTTTCTAATCATTAAATTTCTTTTTTTTTCTTTTGTGCTATTAAAATGTAGGCTGTATATAAGCTCAAGTGGAAGTTGCTTCAGATTCTGAAGTGTTTTGTCAGCAAGACCTTTATTTTTCTAAATCATTATTTTTTAGTTAAAATGTGTTTGCAGGTATAAGTTAGCAGTTTTTAATTAGATAGTCAATACAAAGTTTAGAAAGGAATAAAATACATAAATTTCCTTTAAAATGTTGTATTAGATAGTGTATACTTAGTTAGAAAAGAATAAAATACATATTAAATTTCCTTTAAAATGTTATAATAATGCCCCTCTTTGAAGATAGGAGGGCATATTGCTTTGCTGCTGTCTGCCTGTTGGTCATTCTGTCTGTCTGTCCACCAACAGTTTCTGTTCATTTTCTTCGCAGAGGTTGCACATACTGAAATGAAATTTGATATACAGATTTATCATAAGAATATCTAGGTCAGGTTGTGTTTTAGGTACGATCAAGCAATTTTTTGACAGGAAATTATGCCCCTTGGATTTAGAAAAATGCCATTTTTTTGCTTCCGTTCATTATCTCTGCAACGGTTAAACAAATTAATTACTGATATATCATGAAAAAGGTGTTTTTGCCAAAGATGTAGAAGATTATTTCTGGTTGATGCATCTAAGATAGTACTGGTAGATGACTCGATTTTAAGTTCAAAAGGTCAATTTCATTTCCATGTACACTGCCCATAATGTATACTGCCCATAATAAAGGCATGTGCACCCTATAATGTATGTCGGGGGGGGGGGGGGGGGGGGCATAAGTGTTTCACAAACATCTCTTGTTTACTTTTCATTCCATTGATCATTTCATATAGTGCATAGATATAAAATATAATGGGAAAAAGGTTAAGAGACAATTTGACCTATTTTGATAAACTTTACCCCAACATTTTATTATAATGAGGTGAGGAAATGCACGATCTGAAATGGGCCTAAATATTGGTAATAATTCTTTTGCTGGGTGTAAAAAACTTGAATGTGTCTTTAAATACCATTGTACACAGTTTTATTCACTTCCTTTTTCTGTAAGTAGAAAAATGCAGAACCATGACCATTTCAAAATATGATGAGTTATGCCCCTTTTATATACAATGTAGTAATTATGTAGCCCAGAATATAATGTCTTCCCCTTAAGAGGAACCAATATTGTGAATTTCATGGTTTCTGCCTCCCAGGGGCCTGATGGGTGTAGTCCAAACCATTAGAATTAATGCAATATTCAAAATCTTACCTTATGGACATTGAAGAATCAGCTGTTGGCATATTTATGATTAACAATGGGCCATCTTTCAGAAAGGTTGAATTCACATTCATTTAGTTCAGGCCAAGTTGGTCACATAATAAAAATACACTATATCTTATAAAATCTTCTTTACTCATGGACATGTAGCAGGGAAACCCTTAGTGAAATTCATATCCCCTTGGTCCATAGTTCAGACCCTAGGGTGGGGCTCACTTGGTCATATATTGAAAATATATGACTTGTTTGAATGGCATTTCTTATAGACATTTAATAAGCAAAATATTTTTAGGAATATAATAAACACCCAGCCCTCTACCGAAATTGTAACACCCCCCCCCCCCCCCAGCTCTGCCCATGGTTCAGGCCCAAGGGTGGAGCTGAGTTAGTCATATTTTGAAAATTGTCTGAGAGCTGCTTCTCTGAAGTAAATCTAGTTGGTTAACTGATTATTTGATTACAATACAGGTACCAGTTAAGTCCATGACCCGTTACCAAAACAGTACACATCTGGATACAGCGTTCAGTCCGTAGGGTGGGGCTAAGTTGCTCATGTATAGAAAACAAATTACACTTTTGAAATACATGTATTTTCTTTACCCATTGATATATGTACGAGAAACTTGCAATTTTATAATAAACACTAAGCCCTTTATCTCCAAAATTGTGAAATTCATGGTCATCTGGCCCATGGTCCAGGCCCCAGAATGGAGCTAAATTGGCCATATAAAATCTTCGAAAATGTTTCTTTATTACTGTCCACATTTTGTCATTATGACATGTAGGCAAATTGTTTGCATGATTATGATAAGTAGCTATCCTTCTACAAAAATTGAAAATGAATTGGTCCTGGGATAAGGTTATGTTGGTCATGCTAGGGGTTATCAAAAAGTTCGCAGACTGGCGCCATAAAATTAAAACCGCTTATAAATGTGTAAAAATTCATTGATGTACCATAACTGGTACATTAATGAATTTTTACATTTTTATTCAGTGTCATCTTTTCTGTATACAGAATAAAATATAAGACATTTTCTTCATTCTTGATTCAATTTTTATCGCATCAGTCCACGAACTTTTTAATAACCCTTTGTATATTGAAATTTATTATACAGTGTATACATGTATGTATCTTTACTCCTGAGCTTTCAGAAGAAAAGCTGCATCAATATGATTTTATTATCCTCGTTAATCTGTAAAATTTTTGTTATTGAAATTCAGACCAGTTCCAGTAGGACCAACGAGGTCATAAGTTGAGAAACTCGAAGATACTCTGGTATCTGTCAAAGGCCTTTTTTTTATTTTCCGCTCTTCACCTGTATAATTAACAGTTTAAAACCATTTACTTATTTGAAAATAAACTTTCACTGATGTTGTTTCCGTAAAAGGCATATTTATCCAAATATATTTTTCTTTGGAAATTCATAGAAGTTTCGGTACAGTAAT